GCCAACGGGGAAAGATTTCTCTGAGTCGGGGGGGGCTGCGGCCCCGGAGGCCATGCCGGGTTCATGCAGGCCGGGGGCGGCTGGGCAGGGCGGGCCGGGGCTGGGCGTCCGGCCGGTGTTTAACCCAACCCTCTTCCAGGTATCGACATCGCAAAGAGCCGAGGAGCCCGGTACCGGCTTGGTCCAGAGCTCGAAATCTGGTAAGAGCCCTGTGTTGGTTCTGGGTTTGGTACGTTCCCAATTAATTGCCAAGAAAACCAGCCATGTAGAGCTCCAGTGCCCAAAGCGTCACTGACAGCGTGCGGCTGTCAGTGCGAGGAAAAGCATGGTAGTTGCAAGCACAAGACTGGGTCTCTTGCTTGGAAACGTGACTGGTACTGTTAATTTTTGACCTATTTCAGCCAGTCTTCCTTCACAGAAATGGTAGCGCTTTGAGTTCTGCCTAGGCCCAGGCTGCTGCTCCCGAGAGGAATGGCCCGGCCGTGCCATGGAGTCCGAGCGCTGTCAGTAGGGACGGCGTTGCAGCGCTGCTTCTGCACGCTCTGTACACATTGCCTGTGCGGATCAGGTCTTCCTTGGCTGAAGCAGTTCTGGTCCCTTGGCTCTGGTGCTGGTTTGGCTGAATTTTTAATCTCTTACGTTTTTATATGCAGTGGCTACGGCTGCTCGGATCACTATTATGAGTCCGACACACTCTTGCATTCATTTCAAGTTCTGGCAAAGCTTTTGGAGTCTCCAGCTACTCAAGATATTATCTGCGATGTGGGAATGTAAGTTTTTTTGTGTACGTATGATAAAGGGACAGGTCTTTAGGGAATGCTGCCTCTGCTGTGTTTCTGGATAGTGAGGGCTCTGCACCAAGCTTTTAAACACATCTTAGGAACTGCACTACTTTCCCTTTTAATCACCATGGCTAGGACTGCGACATGCAAAACGCTTTCTGAAAGATAATCCTTTCAAAGATTTCTGGTGGTTGAGCCCTTCAGGAGAGAAATAGGAGAATTACAGTTATTTGTTAGGAACCTTAACGGCTGGGCCCTATTGCCACGGGTAAGCTTTTGGGTAAGACTTTGTACTATACGTAACGCAAAGGGCTTTATAAATTGACTCTCTCTCAGGAACGTCAGGGCTAATGTAACTCGCTTTGGCTGGCAGACATCCTTATAGGCAACATATGTGTGTGTCAAAATCACTGAAACTGTTGTAAGTTAAGTGCTGACAGTGATAAATTATAACTGTAAATTGCCATATGTACAGCTACTTGTTTTAGTATTGATATAAATGCGTAAAGCTAGCTTTATTTTGAACTAGCCTGGTAGTATCATAGGGAGTCAGGTTTGATTAAATAAGTCAGCGCAGCCGAGCGATTCCTGTGGCCTGCTTGCGTTTCTCAGGCATGCCAGTGATCTGGCAGAAGTTGGTGTATCTGAGACCGACAGAGTGGTCAGTGACTCTGATTTTTGCAAACAACTATTTGAATTGAAAAATTAGAAGCTGAAATGTGATATATTTTGTTTAATTTCTTTTAGTGGTACAGTGTAAAGTGTTGTCTTAAAAATAGTTTTTGTGTAGTGACATAGATTCTGTAGCTTTTTAAATTTCCTATAATTAGCCACTGGTAACTCTGCTTCTGATTTTCACAGGCCTGTTCTGCACAGAAATGTTCGCTACAATTGTCGAGTGATCTTTTTAAATAAGTAAGTAATTCTTTATGCGTTTTGTGAGACCATACATTAGTGTATCCTTTCAGAGAACTGTTTGGCCTTCAAGAAAGATTCTTCAGTGCTGTGTAGAGCAATGGAGTTGTCTTCCTATCTACTAAACTTTAGAGAGACAACTATTGTTTTCCATTATCCCTTTTCCCTTTCTGAATTTGTAGAAACTAAACTTCCACTGGTTTCTGGAAGACTCCAGAAAAAACCCTTAAGTTTGCAAACAGAAACTTTAAAAATTATTGTATGTAGTAGTCATTTAATATACTTCATAATAGAAAAAAAGAGTTGGTATTAATCAGTGTTCTTACTTAGTCTTGTTTGGCTGTATATCAGGTCTTAACTTGACCCTTTGCTTTATATTTTAAGGAAAATTCTTCTGATCAGACCAAAAATATCATTGGCAAATGCAGGAAACTACAGGGAGCTTCGATGGTTTACCCCGTGGAACAAAGCAAGGTAGGCTGGCTACTGTTAAAATTGTTTAACAACACAGCATGCCGTTTGTAGCCACAGCAGAAGGACTGATATCTCTATATCAGTCCACTCCATCAGTGCTGTTACAGGGTGAGCGGCAAGACAGAGTCAGCTAAGCTATGTAATTGAAGCTCACTTAGAAAGCTTATTAAGTGCAATCAAACACTGAATTGCTGAGCTGGAAGGAAAAGTGTGGCTGAATGATCCTGCAACCAGTGTAGTAGGGTCATTTTCCTTGTGTCTGTTTCCTAACTATATATGCAGTTCAGGATTGGAAGAGCCTGTGTTTATCTGCTCGATGGCTGCATCCTGTTCAGTACTCAACTGGGAAGCAACATGAAATGGATGAGCTCTGTCGGAATTCTAACGTCTGCAGAGGATGAAAGCTACATACCTTACCATGCTGCAAAATATATTTGATGCTCATCTCTGATGCTGTGCACTCATCCTGGAGTCAGAGGATGGTTCTAACTTGATGGTCTCAGTAAAGTACTTCTGAGAGAGCCCCTGAGCATCTGTCCTCTTAACTCCAGTCAATTCCAGATGAGTTCTGAGTCACTCATGTAGTAGCACTGCAAAAAAGAGAAACTTTTATTTGGTATTTGACTTGCACGGTGTGTTCTTTGTTAGGTCTAGTTTATAGCTAGGATGGAGCATTGTTTACCATGCATTTCTGAAGCAAAGTGGGATGTTGCTAGCTTATAATCTTCACATATCTGATTAATTTCACAGAAAGTATGAAGGTAGTTTGTTTTGTTTTTTTTTTTTTAAACATACACAGCCCTGTACAACCAAAGTGCAATTTCCTTAATCAATGTTAGAAGGTGACAGAAGGTGGAGATTAGAATCAGTTTTTATGCTGTGATTTACGTAACAATGTATTAACAACCTATAAACCTGCTTTAGGCATGTGGAGGAGTATTTTCTACCCAGGATAATTCAGGAAGTGACTGGACAGGTAAGTTTGTAAAGGATTTTTTTCTTTTCTTTTAGCATCTTCCAGACTTAGCAATTTAAATTAATAGAATTTGTGGCATAAAACTGCAGTACACCAAATTCTGCTGTCAGTCATGTTGTGAATTCATGGGTTTCAGTGATAGTTCTTAGTTATGTTAAATGAGAGCATAATTTAACCTTGTTTATGTTAGTATTCGGCAGCAAAACAAGTAAACTTTAAATTTGCCTCAGTTATTTGTATATACAGAACCTTGAAGATTGTCCTATTTTCCACAGTTCTGGTACTGAATTTATCTGTGTTTGAGACTAGAAATGAGTATGTGTTTTGAGGTTAAAAAAAAAAAAAAACAAACAAAAAAACCCCAAAACCTTCTTGATGAAGAAGGGTCTAAAACTTAGGCTATTTCCCGGTAAAGCATGAGCGTGATTCCTAGCAAAAGACAGTCTGTTTCATATATTGTTTAATTCAAAAGCAGTTGTCCTGTCCTGAAGCAAAGCACTGGATCTGAATATGATTGAAATTTCAACACAAAATTTCAGTACAATCCAGAGATTTGCAGTTTAGACCTCTTTTTTTTTTTTTTTTTTTTTTTTACTTAAATTTGGTATAAAATAAAGGAAGGTGTAATGTGATTGATACTGTGTCGCTCATTTCACAGAAGTATTCAATTTTATATTTTTTTTAGATTTGTAGTTAACTTTCTGAATGGAATAGATTCTTCTGTTGCATGTGTGTAAGGCTGTTCTTGTTTTTTCTCAGGAAACTGTTCCTTTTGGGGATGCAGTGCTGGCAACCAAAGATACCTGCCTAGGGGCAGAAATATGTGAAGAACTCTGGGCACCAAACAGGTAAAGGAAAAGAAATGAAAAGTAAACTAAAACATACCCTGGGCCTGCCTGAAATAAATGTTTGAAAAAATCTGCTTATTCTGCTTCCAGCTAGTATATCTTTCAGAAAGTGCCAGTAAGCTAAAATATAATCAGTAGCAATAAATACATCGTGAGGAAAGATTTCACCAGGCTACATGCAGGATGGCAAAAGAAGTTTTAGGTACTTGAGCTAAATTCATTTGAAACAGAAGGTAGGAGAGAAATACAGAAAAGCAGCGGAATGAAAAAGGCGGCCTGAGGAAACAAATGACAAATAACTATAGTGCTCCCATTCCAGATATTGTTCAGCTTTTAGTTCAACCTGAGGTTGAAATGTCCTCCATGGATCCATCTCTGTAACTTGATCTAGAGTCAAAGTAACAGTTATTTTTTTATCAATTTGTAGTATCGATTTTGTCTAGCAATTATAATCCCCTATTATTCCCACGTACTGTGCCTAGTCTCAAAATTTCAGAGTACTAGCAGGTCTTTTTTTTTACTTTATTCTTTTTATCTTCAGCTTTGACCAGCTGCTCCAAAGCATTGCACTTAACAGACAAACTGAGCTCTTATATTTGATAAGCTAGAGCGTACGCTTCTAGGCAACCTCACTCTGAGATGTATCACTTTTTCTTTTTTTTATTTAGCTGTTAGCTTAATCCTTCTGCTTTATTTTATAACCAGCATCACACAATGCATAAAGACAATGCAGAAGGAAACAACACAAGGTCACTAAGGGAAAGCAAAGCCTAGTGCCCTTAAGTAATATTTCTTGTTATTATTTTAGTTCCTGTTACAATTTAAAGTTCTTCCCAACCACAAGAAGATCCCATTCAGAAGGGTCTGATGCGAGGTGAGGGCGGAGATATGGTTGCATGAAAGGTGTTGCAGTTAACACAAAATAAACAAAATGTTCCTGATGTTTTTCCAAATCTCCCAGTTACAGACGTTCATTTCCTTGTAACTGCAGAAGGTGGGTATGTTACAGGCAAAGATGTGATTTTTTAGTATTTCTTTCTTTTAACGTTGGAAAAAGAAAAAAGCAGTAAAAGTCGTCTCATGGTTCTGTTTCCTTATGCTTTTGGATTTACTAAGAGAGAAGGAAAATGGGACAACTGACGTTGCAAGAGTATCTCAATGTTGCTGTTTCAGACAAGATTATCTTATTCTCTCTTTCTTTGAGACCCAGGCTTCTATAGAGTGAATTAGCCGGCATTTTATTTAGAACAGAATGAACAGAAGCCTCTCTGCCCTTTGCAACCACGACTGGTCTTTGACGGAAGAGTCAGGCAATGCAAGAAAAACAGATGTTTTTGAGAGTCCTAGCCTTGTTTGAGCTCAGACATGGAGAAAACTGGCAATGACATAGATGTTTTTATTTGTCAGTGGTTTTAAATGATACCTGCAGTGTTCTCACCGTAGTATTGCCAGCTGATTTTGTTCCCTGCCTTTTGCTTTCACAGCCCTCATATTGAAATGGGACTTGATGGTGTGGAAATTTTCACTAACTCTTCAGGGAGTCACCATGTGCTGCGGAAGGCTCACATCCGGGTGGATTTGGTGAATTCTGCCACAGCAAAGGTATACACTTAACAAAAAATTGATTTTTTTTTTTTTTTTTTATGCACCTCATTTTTTTTCAGAGCAGTCTCCTCTCCTGTGACAGGAGATAGAATTTTCTTCCTATACGAGTGTGGGGGCCTTGACAGTCCTCGTTGTTAGTTTCTTGTTTTCTTACTTGTAATTACCCTCCCTGATTGAATCAGCTATAGGGGAAGAACTCTCTGGCTGGGGGACTGCACTTCTTTGGGGCACCCTGCTATATCAGCTGTAATGGGAAGCACTGTAACTTGTTTCCAGCTCTGTGACCGCAAATGCAGAGGCTGTTTGATTGCAGGTCAGCTCTGTCTGGTCTGTGGAGCAGCGGACTAGAAGAGAGGCCATTTGGTATTTGCATGGGGATAGGGGAGATAAAAACCTACCTGTGCATGTGCGGGGGGAACTCCCAGAAGAAACTTTGCATGAGAGCACGTAGTTCTGCACTGGCATGCCAGCTATATAATCTATCTTTCAAGCACGTTTATAAAGAAGAGTCAGAATACCTTAAAACAGTTAGATAACTCCCAGCTCTGGAGACTTATGCTCCAAAAATGTATTTGATGTCATTGGTCTTAATTCCATTAAACGTTGAAGAAAAAAAATATTGCACTCGTATAATGGATAGGAAATAGTCGGAGTAACTGACTTTCAGTAATTAGAAGTATGAAATGTTGAATCCACTGCATACAGAGAATAAGCAGCTTGGAAGGGTGTTGTTGAGTGCACATTGTGCGTAAAGGGCAAACAGCCAGTGGCTGGGGTTGCTCCCTGTGGTTATCTGTGCCTAAACAGTCTCCCTCCATATGCGTTATGTACTGAACCGACAGCTCATTGCCAGCTCGTAATTCAGTCAACAGAGGGGGTTGTTTTCCTGGCGCATATAAAACCATCCAAAAGTCTCTCTCATTTCCTTAAAATGACAGTTTCTTTCCCAATTTTCATTCACATAGCAACACTGAGTTGCAGAAGTATCAGTAAAGATACCAGGAAGGGGAAATAGAAATCCGTGTTTAAACTCAGACTTTCCCCTGTCATCTACTTACTTAAAATATATTTTTCTACTTTGAAAGCTCTGCTTATTTTAAAGAAGAGAAGACGTTTAGTTATTAGACTGTAATCCTGTCTAACAGTGATGGGGACAAATACAAAGTAATGAATGTACATTACACTGTGAAAAATGTTTAATTTGTACGACTGCTTTGTCATTGCAGTTTAACGTGCTTTGGTTATATTTAACAGTATCGGCTCTGTCCTCAGCTATCCAAACACGGCTTCTGTCATCATCTTCCTGCTTTTCTCAATCTCTATTTGAACTTAGAATTTCAATTTGGAAGTGCAGCCCTCTCTGTTTGGGCTAAGGGAATGACTCTTGCTAATAACGGAAGACTCCTGTCTTCAAACAGTGTGAAAGGGATAGAGCTCATTTACTACATTTTCTTATGTAATTACTTGTTTCTGTCCTGTATATCCCATCAAGTACTTTTTCAAATGACAAGAGAGAGTCCCTGCTGTAAATCATTCACAATGTAAAGACAGAGGAAGATTATAAGAAGGACAGGAACAGAGAAATAACATTTTGTCTTCTAACATGCTGTCAGGTGCTATGTTCTGAAAAGCATCTTTTTGTCTGCATGTTTGTCTTCCTCCCAGAATGGTGGAATATATATTTTAGCTAACCAGAAAGGCTGTGATGGTGATCGTCTGTATTATGATGGCTGTGCCATGATTTCGATGAATGGAGAAACTGTTGCACAAGGATCCCAGTTCTCACTCGATGATGTGGTAATATATTCAACCTATGCCTGCTAGTTACAGCTGAAATTAGCACAGCTGCATTTATGCTCAACACGATCCAGACATTCCAGATACTAGGCCCATGTCTCTAGACTAAAAAGATACATTTTTACTATGCTACTCAATTAGATCCAAGTTTTTTCTAGTTAAATTGCCCAGACCTGCTTTTGCAAGTGAGGAAGAGCTGTCACAGTGAAGGAACTTCATGAAGATGTTTGCGTATACAATCACCGCGTTTAGGAGAGACCCTGTTAATTCCTATTGCCTTATCTAAGAAAAAAAGGACAAAGATTGCAGTGTTCTAATTATGACCTGGTTTGGTAGACAAAATGTTTGATAGGTTGAGCTTTACTTCAAGAAGCCCTTTCTCGCTAGTTTTGTCATCAAAGCTGTAGGTTTCCTCACATTATGTGCCAAATTCATTTCTTACCCTAGTATGCTTCTTGCCTTTTCGTCTTGTCCTTTGCTGCTACTGATGGTGAACCTATTGTTCAGCCACCTGACAAGCACTATAAATTTGTTGTGTTTTATGAGCATCCTAGTGTACTCAGTGAAGCGAGTCAGTTGTGCTCACTTTGTAACGTACATAATTCTACTGAGTCAGAATCGACTTACGAAGTGAGCATAAAAATCTGTATTGAGAAAAGTTGCACGCATTCTTCTTCCCCAACATTTTTTGTAGTGCAGGCCTGTCAAACATTTTTTATCTCTTCGTGTAGACTCAATCTAATGTTGAAAGCCTTTCCATAGGAGGTGCTGGTTGCCACTCTGGACTTGGAAGATGTTCGAAGTTACAGAGCAGAGATTTCATCTCGTAACTTAGCGGTAAGAATTCTTTACATAGGTGATGCTTGTAAACTCTGCCAAGTTTCAGTAGTTATTGAATTTAAAAGTATTTGCGTGTCTTGATTTTCACAGTATTCTATAGATCTGATGTTTTATAGGTATATGCTACATTAAAATTGATGTCTTCCGAATTCTTCTGTCCTGTTGCTTAGGCAAGTAAAGTGAATCCCTATCCCAGGGTGAAAGTGAATTTTGCTCTGTCATGTTCTGATGATGTAGCTGTACCTACGTGTATGCCAATCCAATGGAGACACCATAGTCCTGAGGAGGAGATCAGGTAAGCATACACTGAATCTGTTGCTTGAAAATTATTTTGATTTAAAAAAAAAAAACAACAAAAACTTAAACAAACAAACAAAAGAGATAAACTTAAGATCTTATTTATATTTAAGTAAAGAAAGTATCTCATTGGAAGAGCACAGTAAATATGTTGACTTGCTTAGGTCTTATTCCATAACCCTCTTGGAATAAGCATGTTCTGTAATTTCAGCCTTGGTCCTGCATGTTGGCTTTGGGACTATTTAAGGCGCAGCAAACAGGTAAGAACAACTGTTTTTGTTCTTTGCCTTGGCATACACGTTCTGTGCCATGGGGACAGTACACATTGCTATCCTGTGCTGCTGTTAGTGCAAAGTGATATTAGTCCAAGGTGCAACGTTTGAGATTTTTGCTGGTAGCTCATCCAGACTTAAAACCCGTATGCAAAATGTGACTTCAGTATGCTCTTCAGACCTTTTCCTTAGGAATCGTGCTTTCTTTGAAAGCAACAGTCAAGCTTACCTAATAAAGGGGATTTCTATTTCTTTGAAACGCTGTTTTTTCAGTAAGGAAAATATTCTAATGGCATAATGGAAATGTTTAAAATCAGCTGAATGACATGAACTAGTAATTCAGTTTAATAGTGAAATATATGTGAAAAAAAGAATCCTTTTTATTAGCCTTTCTGTCTTACTAGAGGGTAAAGACATACTGGAAGTTTTTCTAGCCAAAGGGTTTACACTGATTACTTGTTTGATTATCCAGTCGATGAGAGTTTAAGAGGGTTTGCTATGTCTGGTTCACTTGTTTGTTTCTCCCCAGTAGAATATAAGCAGACTTGAACAATGCATGTGTTACACCCGAGACATACATTTTACAAGAGTATGTTTCTGAACGGTACAATAGATGTTTTTCTAATTTTGCTATTTGGAACGTCTTCCTTGCTCTATTTTCAAGGCAGGATTTCTCCTACCTCTTAGCGGCGGAATTGACAGCTCTGCTACAGCTTGCATAGTGTACTCTATGTGTCACCAGGTTTGCCTGGCAGTCAAGAATGGAAGTAAGTAGATACGCACGTCTGGCTAGCCATGCTTACTCATGGGTACGGACAAGTTAATATTAGCTGGGTGCAACAGAGCAAGGGGTCATTAATGGTAGACTCTTGCCCAATTGTTCTAATGGAATCCTTTGTATCTCTTCAGAAATTCCAGCAAAAATGTGCGTCCAAATTTCAGGTTCTTTGAATTGGCTTGATCGTTTTCATTTTGAGTTTAAGAATTGGATGTGGGACTCAGACTAATTTCTGTCTAGAGTATCGTTCAAAATGTTGGCTGATGTAGTTTTGGGATTTCAGTCTACCATGAGAATTCTCTCCTTCTGTTCAATTCAGCACTACAAAACATGGTTAGGCATGGTTCAAACTCTTAAACTGGCTTTAAGTAGACCATATGCATTTAGCTAAGCTTTTGTACATATTGGGTTATATTTTCTATGAGGTTTATTTAAGGTGCAGAACAAAAGGATTTAATATTTCTGTCTTCAAAATTAGGAGCAAAATCAGTGGTTCTTTTATTTGGTATATGAAAATATGTTTGGGGAGTTAGATGATGGAGTGATCTTATTTGTGAGGAGCAGTGTAAAGCTTAATTGGAATACGAGAAACATACAAGATAGTTGCATATCCTGGATAGCAGGAGCGCAACAATTTCCACTCTTGTTCTTTCTTTTGCTTTGTCTTCAGATGCAGATGTGCTGGCTGATGTGCGCAAGATTGTGAATGATGAGACCTATGTCCCTGAGGATCCTCGAGAATTTTGCAAGCGTATCTTTACCACTTGCTATATGGCTAGTGAGAACTCCTCCCAGGATACTTGCAACAGGGCTAAACTTCTGGCTGAGCAAATAGGCAGGTACAAAGTGAGAAGGGCTGGGAAAAAAATCACGTTCTGGCAAAGAGTTTCATCTAAAGCTTTCAAGCTCTAAAATCGGAAAAAATGGAAAAGGAATAGTAAGCGCGTTAAGTAGGAGTGTTACAGACATTATTATTATTTAAGTGTGTAAATATGAGGCAAACTTAGCAGCATTTGGTGAAGGACATGGAAATTTGGAAACAGACTCTGGAAAGCGTTATTCCTCATACCAGGTCTGAGATGGCAGAAGCCTTAAAACATCCTTTTATGGGTGGGTTTTTTTGCTTTTTTTAAATGCTATTTTATATAGTCAGATGGTGCGAGCTGAGTCCCTTCTGCTTGAATTCTTCTCAGCTATCACATCAATCTGAACATAGATGCGGCTGTGAAAGCTGTTGTGGGAATTTTCAGCATGGTGACAGGTCGAACTCCCCATTTTTCTGTCTACGGAGGGAGCAACAGAGAAAACCTGGCACTCCAGAATGTGCAGGTGTGTTTCATGTAGGCCCCCCCCCCCCCCCCCTTTTTTTTTTTTCTTTTGAAAGAGTACAAAATGGTAAAGTAGCAAGGGGGCCCTTCATTTGCATTGCTGTGAAAAGCTGAAACTTGTGGTGTGTCCCTGAGGATTCCTGGGTTTCCAGTAAATGCTTGTCTGCAGCAGAAATCTACAATCTCGCATAACTCAGGAGAAGACCAAGATAATTACTTGAAATAGTACATGCCTGTTTCTCATCAATAGCATTGGTGTTTAGAAAAGCATCCCAACAGAAAGTTTCCAAGTCAGGAAAATGAGCAGCGAAGTGTTCTAATAGACAGGTCTAAGTCCAGTTGGATTGTGGGAGGTCAAGACTCAAAAATATTGCTGATGTATACTAGACTTTCCTCTGTTAGCAGCCTGGAAAAGGCTCTGTGTGAGATATCAAGCTTACCCATTCCAATTCCTAGATGTCTTCAGTTTTAGAAGGAGGAAGAGAATTTTTTTGCATCAGAAGTTATTTAATCTTCAATAGGCTTATAAAATGCGGCTCAAATACACATTTCCAGTTACGCATTTTCGTTGTGTCAGAACAGATTGGTGCTGTGCCTGGGTAGTGCTGGTATACATATTGTATAGAATCACAGAAAACATAGCTGCCTAGTGACTTCTAGTCACTAGGCTCCAGTTGTACCTTTCGTTGTCTTGATAGCTTTCTTTTTGGCCTATTCTTAAAAGCTTCCAACCTAACCAGCAACTCTGTTATAATTCTGGCTAAATGTTGATTATCGTGTCTGATAGTTTTTGTTAGCCGAGGACTTGATCTTTCTTCCCCTGCTACTCCTGGGCAATTCCAGCTGTCTCCTCTGGAAGCGAACATTGAATCCTTTATCAGCTTTTTGGCAACGGGAACGGCTTTAGTCACAGAGGAGTGTGGCGATTTGCTTAACATCACACACAATTGTGGCTAGAGCTGGAGGCTGAATTTCAGGTTTGTTTGGTATTATTACCACCATTAGAAAAAGCAGAGTTTCTGAACGGGGACAAAAGCAAAGAGAACTTTTTACAAATGTTACGTAAGTAAATCCCTGTAGTCTAATGCTCCATAAAAGGGTGTGTTAGACAGATGGTTTATCTGCATACTTCATCCCTTACAGATCCTTATGAGTGCTTGTAGGAGGTAGAAAATGATAATTACTCCCCATTCTACAATTGAGAGTAGAATAAACTTGCCCAGTCATGTAAGTCTGTGGCAGTAGCGGATACTGAACCTGGCTTTCCTACATGTGTTCGCCATCTTCTCCACAAGACCATCCTTCTTGCATTAACATTTACCCGTCTCGCATTTTGTTCTTTATGGGTTTGTTAGGGAATTGATAAATAAAAATGACTGGGGGGAAATTATTCTGCTTTGTAAATTTGCTTTATTTTTCATTTTGCTTTGCAGGCTAGAATAAGAATGGTCCTTGCCTACCTCTTTGCTCAGCTGACACTTTGGACTCGTGGGATGCCAGGGGGCCTTCTGGTGCTGGGATCAGCCAATGTGGATGAAAGGTTGGTGAAAGTTAGAAATCTAAAACCAAGTGAACTGGGACCAGGTCACTGCATTTCCTTCCAACTCTACTAAATCCCAGCGTAGATTATTACTCAGAAGAGGTAACAAGCTAAGAATACGTTGATAGCAGTGAAATTAATGAAAATAGTTGAATTGGCCTGAATGGAAAATTGTCTATTTTTCAGAAGTTTAGCCAAAGTATGGTCATAGTTTTCCAGTAAAATGCTGTTCCTTCCTTAGCTGTTTACAGTAGAGCTTGCCTGTGCAGTTACCAGGTTAACTTTCCAATCTGTTATTTGTTGTATTTTCAATTACTGTATTAGGAATTAAGTTGTGAACTTTGAGTTGAAAAATAGATTTTAAAAAGGTAGAGTACTGTTATTAGAGCTGACTATTTGAAGATTAAAGCAATCTCCATAGGATTGTGAGAGTGATAACCTCAAAAGCTGGGAGAGGAGTGTGTGCTGATTCTATGGGTGTTTTGGGGTTTATTTTTTTTAATTGGTCAGGACAGTATTTTAATTGTTTTGCATCAAATATATTACCTTAGCATGAGCGGTTCTGCAGTGCTTTGTAAGTGTTCAAAAAATTGTCTTCCTCCTGGCAATTCCATGGCTTTAGGATAACCCTTTTGCAGCTGAACACCTGTTTGCCCCTTACGTATGAATACGTTAACAATATGCAGTCTGTTTCTCCCTGTCTTTATCTGACATATATATTCTATATAGTATAAACTATATAGTATAAAATAATGTTACATTATTCTTTACTATTACTATATACAATTTTCTCTCTTGCTCAGTCTCCGAGGTTACTTGACGAAGTACGATTGCTCAAGTGCGGATATCAATCCCATTGGTGGAATCAGCAAGACTGATCTGAAGAACTTCATCCAATATTGCATTGAAAATTTTCAGCTCACGGCCCTCAGAAGGTGAGTAGTGAAGCAGTGATATTTGGTGACTGCATTTGTATGCAGCGTATTGTGGACGTCACGGCTTGGTTTTCTCTACTGACAGAACTAAGCTGCAGTAATATTGCAAATGCTAATAAAGAAAACATCCCTCTGTTTTAAAATGATTGTGTATGCTTACACAATGTAATTGGCTGGGTGCTGAAAATGCTGCCAGCCTCAGGAGTTACTGTATGTGAGCATTTGTGTTGTTAATTCCGCTGAAGGAGCTGTTTGAACCAGATGCTTTATGTTTTTGGTATAAAGCATTGCTTTTCAAATCCGGAACAGCTTGCAAGTACCACTTCTTTAGAGTTATCTAGTCATTGAGCAGCTTATGCCCTGAAAAGGTTTTGAACGAAGCATTTGATTTTTAGCAAACCAGACTGTTTGTTAACTAGTACTCATGAGACTGGATAGAATTCAGGTTTTTCTTTTTACCTTTTTATTACAGTATCATGTCAGCTCCACCCACTGCGGAGTTAGAGCCCCTGGTGGATGGACACGTGGCTCAAACTGATGAGGTAATAGGCAGTGACTTTAAAATGCTCTGGTAAGCCTTATCCCAAAATTTATTTTTTGTCCAATAACTATTGTTTGATCTTGTATGTAGCCATGCTTATTGACAAGCATGTTGTAAGCAATCTTAAAGGTACTGACAAGGCATTAGTATCCCACACCAGCCTTATCTATGTTGACAACAGCTTCCAAAACAGCAAATTTACCTTTTTTGAATGATTTTATATTTTGGGCACCTAGAAGGATGGGTGTTCTGAAACTCAGTTTGTTTTAAAGTCTCTTAATATCAAAAGAGAGTCAGTCAGGGCCTTACTGCTATTGAAATGACTGGTGGCAAAGCCCTTCGTCTTTTCCCCCCGCCCTTCTCTTTGCTATCCACTTGGATAAGAGAGGACTGGTAAGCCTAACAACTACCTCCACGGCTGTTGGATATTTAACTGTAGGATTTTGTAAAACTCCTTATGATAAAGCAAAGGGTTGCTGAATTAGAATTAGTGGTTTTCTTAATTTGGCCTTACCTTACTGATACATACTACATTTAAGCTACCTAGAAGGAAAAATGAACAAACCTTTCTTGGGAAAGAACTGTTTTCACTGGCCAAATCAAATATATTCATGGGAGAATTTCAGATTTCCCATTTCAGAGAGATTCCAGGTTTTTTTTCCTTCTGCTCATAATATCACTGTCTCTTTGTCTTTTTGATCACTGGCAGTTTCATTTTGGTGTTTCCTTGCTTAAACGGGGTTATTGTAATTGCTCTATAAAACTATTAATTACAATTTGCATAGTTAAGATTTTCAGTGACTTTCTGTGTGTGTGATTTCAGGCAGATATGGGCATGACATATGCAGAGCTCTCAATCTATGGCAAGTTAAGAAAAATTGCAAAGGCTGGACCATACAGTATGTTCTGTAAGCTGATCAGCATGTGGAAGGAAATTTGTACTCCAAGAGAGGTAACGTACCAAAAACAAAAAATCAAATCATGTAATGTCTGCCAAAATAGAGTAAATTTAGGGAAAGGTCGAGTAGAGTTCCTTTTAACTGGAAGGGATAGTTTAATTACTCTGTGTTTAGAGATTATGCTACAGCTGTAGCAGAATATGCTGGAAAAACTGGTATGCATCCTTAAATTAATGGAGCTTGTTGTTTGTGTTGCAAATTATTAGAACAGTAATTGGGTAATTTGAAAACAATTACTTCAGAACTATACCTTCAGGGGAAAATTACTCTCTGAAACCTACATGGCTAACTACTCTTGAAGCCTTTGGTTATGTATTCTGAGACAGAAAATGGCTCTTGCTTTGAAAAACTATCTACACTGAAGAGGTATCTGCTTTGCTGTTAGGCAGTTCTTCTTCTTGTGAAAACTTGTGAACCTTGAAAAGGTTCAAATTGTCACCTGAATTGCAGAGGCTAGTGCTTACTGTTAGATTTCTTACAAGGCACTTCCTTACTGGTAAATGATAGGTGGAGAGACGGAGGCGGTATCTGAAAATGGTCTTAAATGCCTCTTATAGGTAAGGTCATCCACGGTGATTCATACTAGTAGTGGATGATAATTTCTGGAAATGTTAATGGAAGAAAATGGATGTGTAAAACTAGAACGCAGTCTCCAAAATACTGTTCTCCTCTAAATTTTTTTAAATACTAAGAATCGTCATCTGATTAAAAGCTATATTCTTTGTACACCAGGTGGCATCAAAGGTTAAGCATTTCTTCAGGATGTATTCAGTTAACAGACATAAAATGACCACCCTCACTCCTTCCTACCATGCTGAAAACTACAGTCCAGATGACAACCGATTTGACCTGAGGCCTTTCCTTTATAACACCACATGGTCCTGGCAATTTAGGTGTATAGATCAACAGGTAAATCCCCTCTACTTCTCGTATGGTTTTATATTTAAAGCCCTTGCAATGGGACAAGCTCCAGTGAATCTCCAGCAAAAGACAACTAGCATTTAGGGTAATAGTTTAATACAGAAATAACTGTGATTGTTCTCTTCCCGTAACTGTGAGGCTAAGAATTCTCTGGTTTCAGTGTAGGCTGGGTTTTTTTTCATTGTTAAGTACTGATTGTCATATTGCTAGGAAAGCAAGAAGAAGAAGGAAAAAAAAAAAAAGCAAATATATGTACTGAGGCCAGAAACTAATAGGTGTAACCATACTCATAAAGTCTTGTGCTAATGCGGAGAACAAGCTTATGTGTTTCGGTTTCAGTTCAGGACCTGTCTGAAGGGATCTGTTTAATTGCGGGATTAAGACTTGACCTACATCTGCGTGGGAAAAGCCAGTAAGAGGCAGCGATTCATTGTAAATGCTTCTCCAACCTGCTTCTCCAACAATACCTTTTTTGTACCTCGAGTCAGTTGACTCACAAATATGTGTTTGCTCAAATACCGCAACAGTAATGGTGCAGTGCTTAGTTTGAGCACTGGGAGGTGTGGAGGGGCTCAAGCAACTATCGGAACCGTGATTAACTTTTTGTAGTTTTTAGTCACACCTTCAATGTTATTTTAATGCATTTTTTATGGCAAAAGTGCTGGGCTGAAGAATTTTAGCACCTTGAAGTTTTCTCTGCCAGAGAATTTACAGCTCAGTTGCTTTTAAGAATATGTTTATGTAGGTAATAAAATATTAATTCCCTCGTCTGTGAAATGCCAGACATGCTGTAATAGTGTTTTATTACCTTGAAACCTAGGATAAAAGCTACCATGTGCAGCACTTTTTTGTAGGTCTCTATGGTGTTTGGTTTTTTTTTTCCATCATTTTGGACTTTCTC